ATCTTCAATTTGGAAATGCCCGCGCCGATGCCCGACTTGAGCCTGATAAGGCGCTCTCGCTAGCAGCTCTCGACTGCTTGCCGAGCCGTTCAATTTTAGAAGACGCGCCGAGCGAGAGCGGGCTCGTAAAGCCGAGCGCGATAAGGCGCCGCTACGCTTCGCACCTTTTGACCTCGAGCGTATGTATATACGTCTTTTGAAGGAAAGCAGACGCTGCCAGTGTTTTGATAAGAGTGTGACTCTCTCCCCCTCTCTCTCTCTCTCTTACTCAGCTGTAAATGTTGATTGAAGGCGAGGCTCTAATTTTATTGGCGCTTTCGGGAAGAGCCGGCTGCGACTGCCTTTCTTGCCGCCTTCTTCCCCCTTTCGTTCCGCCTGCGCGCCTGGCCAGCTCGCGTGGAAAATCATGCCGCTGATTTATTCGTTTTCATTAGCGCCACGCGCGCGCGCGCGGCTTCCTCCGTTGTCGATAAATCAAACATTTCAGCGGCATTAATTATCCGGCCTCCTCGCGTACGCGCGTTCGCGTTCAATTATCTAAGTGTTCATAAATAACGGCGATAAGCGGACGGCCATTTGTTTCGACGATGCAACGATTTAATTTTGAAATTCCGCTGCTTATGCCGTACGCGCGCGCTCGCGCGATTGAGCAAGCGGCGCTCGCTGGAAAAACGCCGCGGGAATATGGTCGAGGCGCGCGCTATCCGCGGGAAACGCAGCCGCGGATTCCGAGCGCTCGCGGCTCTCGGCTCGCGGCAGCCGCGGGATTCCGCGCGGAATACCGTGCCGATTGGGAAAGCTCGCGGAGCGGCTTATCGGAGTTGTCCGGAAACGTGCGCGGGAGCGGGACGCGAGCGCGCAGCGAAAGGGCGAGGAGGTGGCGGCGGCGGCAGGGAGGGGGGGGGGGCGGCGGCGCGCGGACAGAAGAGGTAGCGAGTGCGAAAACGAAAACGAGAAAGGGCGACTCGTTCGCACGGGCGGCGCGGCAGCTCGTGAATCCTCTAGCTCGGCGGAGTTATCTGCGGTACAAATTAGCCGCGGAGTCGCCCTCTAAAGTAAAAGTTATGTCGCTCGCAGCCGTTCCTCGCTGCTTACGTGCCCGCGCGCCTTGTGGGAAACGGAGAGTTTGAGTCGGTTATTGAGAGCTCCCATTACCGCAACAAGCTGGGCTATCTTTCGCGCGATGTTGATGAGGTGCATCGTGCGCACGCACGCACACACACGCGCGCGCGCGCGCGCTGACATAGGAATGCCGCCAAGGATAAATCGCAACGCCGAGCCGATGACATCACCTGCCGCTGCTCCTGCTGCCGATCGTGCAATTGCGATTATCGCGGGCGCGTGTCGCGCATTTTTCGAGTGCTGAAATTCTTCGGTTAATGGGCAAAAGGCACCAACGGAGCGGCGGGCAGATAAGGGAAACGAGGGGACGCCCGATACGCATCGCGCGAGCATCGGCGCAAACTGCTCTCTGCCCGCGAGCTTTTAATTGAGCTGACTTTCCACGCAGACAAATCGCTCGGCTAACGTACGATGACGAGTGTTCGAATTAACGGGGCCCCGATTCGGAATATCCCCGAGCGAGAAGGCGCCCGCCGAAACGGCACCGAGCGCGCTGACGAGCCGCTTCCTTCGATCGGATTAGCTGAAAGCTCCGGTCCTCGATTTTTTTCTCTCCTCTTTGCGCGCAGTGCCAATTCCTTTCCCGCTTTTTCTTGCCCGAGCTAGAGCGTGCGGCTTTTTCGTTAAGTAGGCAAATTACCATTGTTAAATCATCGATAATCAGTTTCTTTTTCTCCACTGGGAAGATGATTAACGAGATTCGAGATGCGTCGTCGTATTTAACGAGAGTAATTTCGTATGCAAAGCAATAAAGCCATTCGTAGAAATCAAAGTCTCGTGGCTTTGGAATTATTCTAGGCAAACAATTTCAACTGATAGCGAGATAAATTCATTAAGCTTGCAAAGATCAGATAAAAAAGCAGTGCTCGTAATTAACGAGTCTCGAAAAAAGGCAGTCTGGAAATAAACGTTTCCTGCAGCAGCAGCTAAAGAGCGATAGGTATCATCGAGTCGATCGTCAAAAACGAGATTATTCATGTTTACAGTGGCGTGCCGTGGGCGAAACGAAAGAAGAGGAGGAAGAAAAAAAATAAGGAGAAGGATGCCGAAAGGCAATCACGAGGGTCGTCACGTTGAAAGTCGCGCGAAAATCGCAGGCATTAATTTTTTACGATGCCCTCGGAGCTACCTCGCCCAGGCAGGGGGGGGGGGAGAGAGAGGAGAGCGCGATTGCCGGCCAGCAGAAGCCCGACAGCTATACACATACAGCGTCTGGCGCAGTCAAAGGTGAAAAAAGGTCTATTTGGCCGCATCTCGTCTCCGGTGTGTTTTTCTTGGGCTGACGCGCGCGACCACCGCCGCGCGCGGCTCATTGATGGATTTCGACGGCGGAGGAGGAGGCGAAGAAGGCGCATGGGAAAGGAAGGAGCGGCGAGCCCGTAAATTTTTCCTCGCGCAAATTAGACACGGAGCGCGAGCGAGAGAACCATGCTCCTACTGACGTTTTGACATCTGTATTATGCACCTTTCGACGAATGAGCGGCCGGCGGGCGCGCTTTCAAGTGACTTTTCGTACATGTTTATGTCGGCGGCGGCGGGGTCGTTCCTCATTTTTAATTCAATTTGATGGGCCACCGCCAGCGCAAGTTAATATCCTCCCGAGCGCGCGTATTCGTTCAAGCGGCTCACGCTAATTGAATGGCGCCTGCTGATAATATTAATATTCATCGACGAGCGAGCGCTTCGATTTCGCGCAGCGTCCGACTCGTTTTCGCCCGCAGTTGGCGTTCGACGGTTCTGGGCGAGCGCTTGGCGCGTAGCGCCCTAGTCGAGTCCGCTGGCGAGAGCGTCGTTCGCGCCATAATTCTGCTTACGCCGATCGAGGCTGACGCGACGTTGCATCGATCGGAACGCGATATCCTGCCTTTCGCCGCCTCGGAAGAGGGAAGGCCGGGCCGGCGACGGAACTTTATTGCGCGCGCGTCAATATTTGAGCGCGCGCAAAGGCAATCGGGCGCAGAGATAAGACACTTCCTTTTTACCGAGAACGAGGTAGCATCGTCGTCGACAGGTTCACGAGCGTTAACCACACAGCCGTCAGTCAGTTCGTGAAAGTGCAGGCCAGACGAGAGGAGATGTTGCCCCGTGAAATCGCATAACAATAACACGATCGAAGGGAGTTTGCGTGCGTGGCGGATGGTATGGTGGGGGTTGGGAGGTGGGGGGCATGGAAATCGGATCTGGCACGGAAACTCGAGAGCGCGCATCGATTAATAATCTAGGCGACAAATGCGCTGTCGCATCGGGCGAGCGTTGGCGTGGTACGGCCGATTGGCTCACCGGCGGCGCGATCCATCGATCAAGTCCTTACCGTCGCTGATCGAGGAGGAGCGGCGCAAGCAGAAGAGCGAGCAGCAGCTGAGCGCCGAAGCTTCTGGTCAGTCCGGCGCTGGTGGCTGTCGGTGCAGGCGCGATGGCTCGTCGAGTTGTCGGCCTAGGCGACTGCATCCTTTCATCGCCTCTCGCCGACTTGCCAATCTGCCAGCGCTGCTAGCGGTCACTATCAGCGGCGCACCAAAAGCACAACAAGTGAGCGAACGTCCGCCTCCGCTCGTTCAAACACATGGTCGACGAGGTTCGCTGGAGAAAGCTCTCCGGGGCTCAGGCTTGCAAGCTCGCAGTGCCGGCGATGGAGGAACGGCGGCAGCGGCAGCAGCAGCGCCGCTTCCGCGGCGTCATCGTCCTGAGCGTTAACTGAGCCCGCGCTCGAGTAGTCAGCAGCAGCCGCCGTCGACGTCGTGCCCGCCTCCGCTGTTGCGGCTCTCTCTCTCTCTCTCTCTCTCACACACAGCTAGAGAGCAGGGTAGAGAGCAGAGCAGAGCACGGCGCGTAGCCACGTAGCGTAGGTGAAAGAGACAGACAGTGAGAGAGAATCCAGGCGCCAACTACCCCCACTATTTCGAGCTAACCAACGCCACGAAGAAACAGACAGAGAGGGGACATTCTCTCTCCCATGCCGGTATGCCGCCGCCGGGCCACGATTAATTAGGGGAGAGAGCTACCCTCGACCGAGAAAGAGAGAGAGAGAGAAAGAGTGAGAGAGTCTGAGGAGAAGAGGGCGTTGCCTGTGGGAGGAGCGTACCTTTCCCTCCCCGTGTGTATACCTACACGGACACTCACTCACTCACACACCCATCTAATTGAGCTTTATCATGCTCCTTTGCCCCTACTTTCTTTAAGGTTCTCCCCCTTCCCCTCCGACTCCTTCCTTCCTGCTGTTGCTGCTGCTGCTGCTGCCGCTGCTGCTGCCGCTGCTGCTGCCGCTGCTGCTGCTGCTGCTGCTGCTGCCTCTACTGCAGCTGCCTCGTCGACAACGCAGCTCGATCCTAGCGATAGATGTGCGACGACGTTACGGACGTGAGATCGATTCTAGATCCTTTGTCCCCTCGCCTCGTGGACTTTTACTCCGCGAGCTTTGCTCTCTCGCCGCGTGGAATTTGATGGGTTCGTGATAGCGACTCGAGACGCGACGACTGAAAGCGAGATCCACGCGATTTCGGCGAATCGCACAAAAAAATAACTGTGACCGTCGTTGGGAAAACGTAAAGTTTGATTTGATACACACTGGACTTGTCGTGACTTTGGCCTAAGCCAGATAGTACGCTAGCTCGTCCTCTTCGCAATTGGAAAATCGACGATTACGGAAAATAAGTAGTACGAGTCAACGGTATGATAAACGCGTCGTGTTTTGGCAGTCGCACGCTTTTGACACTGAGCAACGCGAAGAGCGACAACACATCTATTTGATGATAATCTCGACTTTGTCGAATGGAAATACAGACTCGACTCGGAGTGTCGACCGTTTGCGCGATCGATAATTCTGATGGAAAGCGAAAATTTTTTGTTAACTTGACTCGACAGATTGCGAGCAAAGTGCATCGACATATTTGGTGACAGTCGCGCAAGTTACCGAGCGATCGACGTATCTGCAGCCATCTATCCGTTAATTACACGATCGCTGCCAAATTGGCTTTCGGCGCGCGTAATAAGGCAGCGAACGTCGGAAATAAACAAAGGGCTTCTCGCTCATTGTAATAATAGCAGAGTCGTTCGATAACAATCGGGCGCGCACGATAGCGTATCGTGGGTAACGGGGTGTTCCATACGTGCGCGGCACAAGGGAGTAAAAGTTTCCAGTCGACAGAGCCGACGAGAGAGACTCGCGCGTCGCAATTAGCCCCTCGGCACCGGCTCACGCTCCAGCGGCAGCGACAGCGGCGGGCCACACGTGAAGAGCCACGCGCGGAGATCAAACGATTCGTACAAAGCCCACTTGCTCCTGAATATACATCATGCGCGCGACTCTGATAATCGAGAGCCTCTTCGCCTCTTAACCCCTCACATTTTTGCCTATGCTCGCGTGCTGGCTCCGTCTGTACCGTTGCAGCACTCGGCGTACCGACTTCTCTTATTCTTTCTTGCTTTCTTTTTTTTCTTGTTTTTCAACTACTTCATTTCTGCAGGTTTTCCATATTTACTCTTAACGAAAATACGTACGTATATTACACGCGAAAAATATTTGCAGCCGCCCGTTGCTGTTGACCGAAGAGGAAGGGTTTCATTAAATGTAATACTGCACCTTTAAGCAGCCTATGTGCGTTACATGCTAAGAAGGAAATGGTGAATGTAAACATGATCATCGAAGACTGCTGAAAAGGTTTTCAATCAATCTTAAAACTCGGCTCGCATAGTTAGTGCGATTAGCGATTATCCAATGATCATCGCAAATTAGAAATCTCACGAGGTATCGAAAATCACAGGCCTCGCATGAAATTAAACGCGAGACGAAGTTCAAAGCCACGGCCGAGCGAGTCTTACACATCCGTGTCTCTCCCCCGTGGAGAGCCGCTGTCGCTCGTATGGTCGTCGAGCGACATCAAAACCCGTTAGCCTGCCAGTATGCGCACACGCTCTCTGTCTCTCTCTCTCTCTCTCTCAAATTGCAGTCATATCATATTTATACATCTGATAGCGATTAAAGGAGAGGAAGAGAGCAAATCGGTCGGAATTCATATTCGTAAAGTAAACGTCTATTTCGGGGGGCTTCTGGCTGCTCTATGTGCACGAGCGTGTCCGTCTGTCATCGAGCGCGGCACGCGTCTCGCAGATAGCATCGCGCCCACTCGATCATCCTATCTGTTTAATTGCCCTCGAGAGCAGCAACCTTCTCTCCCTCTCACGTGCGCACGCGCCACTTTTATCAATTGTTTTAGGCATGCGACTCGCGATTGAATTATACCTCGGTCACGACGTCGTTTTCTCGTCGCTTTTTTTCCCTCCTTCGTCGTTGTTTTTGTTCTTTCGCTATCGTTTGCCGAGAGACAACCAAGCCACGCTATACCCTGCATACGTGTACCCTTGTCAAAGTAAATCGAGCTCGTGACAGATTCTTCTCTCTTTTTTTTCACTTTGCTTTTCCATTTCGATTGAACGATATCATTTTGTTGCGGCTAATCAAATTTATTCGTTTTGCCTTGCCGACGGCGCGGTCAGTTGCCACGAGAGTCTGCGCAAGTGATGAAGCTGAAATGCAATTTCGAAGGTGGAATAAGACCGAAAGCCAGCGAGCTAAAATATTGTAATTACACGCGGAGTTATTACGTTGCGAGCGCCGTTCCACTGAACATGGCTCGACGCCGCGGTAAGTACGTATAAACGTACTTGGCGGCGGCGGCGGCGGCGGCGGCGGCAGCGGCGGCAGCGGCGGCGGTGGTGGTGAGGTCAGCTCGAAAGAGATCGTGGGAGGCTGTGCAACTTTCGCGGGGCATACGAGCATCGTGGTACACGCTTGCTCTCGGAAGTTTACATTTTCTCAGAGACGTCGATGATTGCCCGAGTGTGTTTAGACGGACGTGCGCGAGCGCGCTTTCAATCTAATCCCAAGTCGCTGTTAAATATTTATCGGACTGACTATTCAGAGGTGCCAGACAAGTGTCGCTCAGGCGACAGCCTCGTCATCGATTTCGATGCTTACGAGAACGATGCCGGTCGATGATGTTTTTTCGAAAATTGATAAGCGGATTTTTGAAAAACGCGCGAGGAATGATTTGGCCAAGTCTGGCTTTCCGGGGAATCGCGCGTTGACAAGTGCACGCGAACGTATACGCGACGAAAGTAAAATCTCAGCGTGACCTCCGGTGTCGAGGATTAAGAGTCAAGAGGAACGAAAGAGCGGAATATCAGAGTATAAATTTCAATAATCGCCGGACGAAATATGGATTACTAATTGATCGACGAATTTAGGAGGACTGGGTCATTAAGAGAACCTGAAATTGGAAATATTTATGCTCAAACCCGTCGTTACATTACCGGCCGGCTATAAATATCCATAAACTAGTTGGCTTTTAAACGGCTGGCTCGCGGACAGAATTTTCCTTTTCCAGACGACGGTGCCGCTCGGCGGCGGCGGCGTATACGCGCGAGAGGTCCGCGAATCACGGCGCAATGCGAAACGTCGAGGGGATGCAATGCCGACGCGGGCGCGCAACGAGAGCCGAAAATTTCAATCAGGCGGCCGCAGCGCTGGCGCGGTCAGGTATATAACGGTGAATCTCGTTCATTCATCAGGAATGCATTTATTAAAACATTCCGCGCGTAGCCCGGACTCCCCGCGGGTACGGCCCACCGGCGATATCCTGTTTCTCTCTTCCCCGCGGAGAGAGAGAGAGAGAGAGAGAGAGAGAGAGAGAGAGAGAGAGAGAGAGAGCATCGCTGAGATTCTTAGGGAGCTTTCGACACGCGCACGCACACAGACGGCGAGCTTGCGCACGAAACTTCAATAAAGCTCGCCGTCGCTCTCCCAAATCCGAGTGTTGCGGAGTGCCCACCCACGACGCGAGGCTGCTGCGAAAACCAGTCTCCGCGTCCGAAAATTCCTAGTATAAACAGCCGAGGCGAGCGAGGCGCTCACACCGCAGGCGTTCGACGCTAAAAAGAAATAACGAGAAGGCAACGTGAAAAAAGTGGTCAGCGCAGTAATTTGCATGGGATGCCACCGCCGCCACCGCCGCTTCTTCTTCTTCTTCGTGGGAGGGGCGATCGTATGACCAATCGATTCGCGCGCGCCGACGCGAGAATGTGTTATTTGTCAGTCGCGCGAGATTTCGGGAGAGAGAGGCTATTCGCGAGATGACAGAGGTGCTCGCGCGCGATGACGCAAGCCCAGCGACATCTCGCCTCGCGCTTCGTTAGGCGTGTTTACCGTTCGCGCAAGAGAGACGTTACATCGCCGATCTATTAATAGCCACGTCCGATTATTTCTTGTTCGAGTAATTGGAAGACTCGGCGCGTCCTCGTCGCTCGTGCCATCTATTTGGTAGCGTTGACGTTACCTCGGAATCGCGAGAAACGCATGAACGACGACGGCGGTAGGTGACTTTCGAACAAAGATGCGGAATAATGCCGCGCGATGCGAGCTATTGGGGTACAAAAGAATCGACACAATGTGGACTAAGACCGAAAGAGCGGGACGAGCCTCGGTAGCGGCGCTTCGGCATCTCGCGCGAAAGCACAAAAAGAAAAACAAATAAGTTAGAGTAAAAGGGCCGTTGGTCCGCTATATGGGCGAATGAAAAACGAGCATACACAAGGAAACGGGGATTTCCGTAACGGTCAGCAGGTAGCTCGTCGTGTCGAGGAGGAGTAATGAGAGCAGGACGTGAGAGACGCCTAATCA